CAACAATATCAGCTGGTTGTAGTATTAAGTTGAATTGCACCGGCTACCCTTCACCAGTTGGTTTGTGATAGTATTGTCTATATACATATGTATATATATATATACATATCACATCATATCACTATATATATATATATATATACATACATATGCCAAAATCTTGAACTTAATTATATTCAACTAATTACGTCCATGGTTTTGGGCATCCCGCACTTGAAGAAACTCCCACTTTTTTCTGGTGATCTTCCCCTCGTTTTCTGAAACGCTCCATCGAAGTATGCCTCGAAGTCTTGGACCGCGCGGGAATCCGGTCGGTCCAAGCTCTCCTTGGCGCCAAGGGCGGAAAGGCACAGCATGGCTGGTACAAACAAGTGATACTATATCTATACATAAATAAATATATATATATATTATTTGTATAGATGTGCATTATTTACATATCTGTGCAAATTACAATATTTGACGAATTGAATTAAGGCCCACTGATCTTCTCTTTGGCCGGCCCGACCCCCGCCCAGATGTTTGAATTAAAGTCAGTTGGGGATGATTCCCCTTACTAGCCATGATTCCAATGAGGTCACAGTGAGGTCACTATAATTTGCCCAGAAGTGAATTAACCAGCCATCATCATAATTGGCCGCTAGTATTCGGGGAGAAAATGGGACATAACATGACATAACTAATCAACTTGGATAGCTTTAGATACCATCAAAATAAAGGCCTAGATAAGCAGCAGTTGTATCTTTTGGTAACTCGCTATTGCTGTAAGATAGCTATAATAAACCAAAGTATTTCATATGTTATGGTAATTATCAAAACCGGCAGGGTTGCCCCCAACACCACAGATATGTTTGGGGTAACTTGGGTAAGGCTATAATTCACCTATTAGAAGGTTGGAGCCAGTTTTTTTTGGCTGAACACTGTGAAATTTGGCTGTTCTTGAACTATCAGTTGTGGAGGTGAATCCATTGGCAAATTGGGATTGCTACAAGAATTTTGAATTATGAGGATGATGAGGATGATGAGGATGATGACGATGATGACGATGATGATGACGATGACGATGATGATGACGATGATGATGATCATCATCATGAAAGGTTGGGAACCACCTCATAGACTAATCCACAATGCATCTCATGGGTTGCTCTGGAAAAAAGGATGTCCTTGAATCCTGGCTTATCATGGTTTCACATGTTGGGTCTTCTCCATGATTCGACAAACTCCATGGTAAAATGCTGGTGGTGACATCAACAGGGACGTTACGTAAATTCCAGCATTTGTTCATGTCAACAATTATCTTGCTGTCATTGTCTAAATTAACTATCAAACTGCATTCATATGCCACTATATCATTGCTTTGCACATACATGTGTATATAGTTATATATATCCTACACGTAGCTAAAGCTATGATATACATATGTAGTACTACATATTATTAATGTATATTTATATCACTTCATTGACATTAATGATCATTAATGTACAAAACACCTGGATATTCACCAGTAATGACTGGGCCAAGGCTTTGGTTCGGCATTTTTTCCTGGATGAATTTAGCTACTTTAGTACCTTAAACTGGGAGATTTACACCCAAATTATGGCCATTTTGATAGGAACACATGCTTTGAAACGGAGAAACACATCAGTTTTTTGGATGCCCAAGCTTTCAGACAAAGCACAACTGGTGGTTTTCCGGCAATTCGAGAATTTGTGAGGTATGGAATCTTCACCTTTTTCAATGAAACAACCATACGACCTGGGATTAGTTTTCCCCGGCGAAAATGTAGGGCCCCGACAGAGAAAGCACCAGCTTCCAACCTTAGATGACCCACCCGCGGTATCACACCCGCTACAGGAGATGAAAACATAGCGACCTACGTATGATGTAAATGTACCCTCTGGTAATTTGTAAACTAACATAGCTAGGGAAAATCACAATATTTAAAAAGGTAAATCAACTATAAATGGGCCATTTTCAATAGCTATGTTAAATTACCAGAGGGTAAGTGTTATAGATGAACAACATCCAGAGCAATCTGAGGAATTTTATCTTTTTTTGAGGGACCTAGGGATATTCAACCATCCAAATGGTTTTCATCTTAAAATTTTGCGCCTAGGGCCTAGACGTGCTTCTAGCTCTTTTAGGAGTCTTGACATACGGGTTGAGGTGATGTTTGGAATGTTCCTCGCCCGTTTTATGCGGAAACATGTTCGAAGTTTCTTCCATCTGAGTTCAGCTGGTCAGATGAATGTGCTGAAGCCAGCTAATTCCTTCACCCTATTACTAAACCTCCTCCAAATAATAAAAACTAGGGTCCATCTCTAATTTTGGAAGATTTCAGGCAGGTTGGCCAATTTGACTTCTTGATCCCCTTTAGACAACAATTTTAAAATCAAGCTACCATTTGTGGGTGTCGCCCCCTAATAATAAAAACTAGTTAACCCCGGGGTGTTTATTATTAGGGTCCGTGAAAATTTTAGTTTTTTTTATTAATGGTTTCAATTTATTAATAGGGTCCGCTTCGAAATCCAATTTTTGGAAATATTTTAATTGCGTTATATAAGGAAATTTAATTGATTTTGAAATGAAAACATTTTTTTTTTTTAATTAAGGGTTTCAATTTATTAGGGTTCCCTAATAATTCCCTAATAATAAATACCACCGTAATAAATCCTAAAAATAAAAATAATAAAAACTACCTGAAGTGTTTATTATTTGGGGGGGTGGTTTAGTATTAGGGGGAAGGGATTATTTGATATTCAGTCCGGCAGTTCGGCCACAATTATATAGCTCATTTAATGTTATTGTAGCCCGTCCATGCCCGTCCACAATGGATGGGTCATTAGCTCATGATATCCACATCCGTTCTTCCCGTTGGTTGTCAAACATCCTGAGTCAAAAGCGTCGTTCCGTTTGCCTTCGGTTTACAAAGAGATTCTTTGCAAATCCGAGTCAATCGAATTTATTCGAATTCGGGATGATTCCCCAAATAGAAACCATCATAAATAATTACGTAACCATGCTGAACAAAGCAAACGTCAGCTGATTTTGATGCAACTGGTGAGGTCAGCCAGTTCGTTACAGGTTTGCCCAAACACAATGATTCAATGATGCCCGTAGAATGGTGATACACATAGAATAAATCAAATCACTCCTGTTTGTGATAATATACAACAAGGAGAACATGGAAACCCAAACCACGTGTACATGAGTGTGATGCATGATGCCCTAGTTGTTTGTTTGGCTTATGTCTAATTATCCCATCTCCTGTTGCTCTTGTTGCTATTTCCACATTCCCATATAGATCCCATATAGTATGGTCCCACATGGGGGTTTCCTAAAATGGAGGATCCCCAAAACCGGGTGCTCCCATGACTTAGGCAATCCCCCAAATCTCTGATTTCATACCCTCTGGTAATGACTAACACTTCGCGACAATGAAAATTGCCATAAAGCCATAGTTGATATTTAAATATTCATTAGAAAAACATGGATTTTCCATAGAAATAGTTGATTTACACATTAAAACAGATGGATTTTCCATAGTTCTTTGTAGTTCTTTATATGTTTACCAGAGGGTAACTGATGGGAAACACCGGTGGATTTCATCGGAAGCTCACCATGGCTTCCCCCTGAGTTCACGGACTCTTCAGCTCTTCTCGCCCTGGCGGCTTTTTGCTCGGCTTTGCGCTCCTGACCACCACCAAATCTGGTAGTGATGTTTAAACAAAACACGAAAGAAATCAACAGTAAATGGCACCCCAAAAAGGTACCCTAACAATCCCTAACATAGATGAATTATGAAATTTATGGAGGTTTTAATTCCAAAATATGGTCATAATATGGTAATAATAGATGTTGACCTATCATCATTTAGGATGCAAAATGAACCCCCCATGGTTGGTTTACGGGACACCTTTTCAATCAATTGGAGGTCGCTTCACTCCAAAAAGGAGTCACTGAACCTCCTCAAAAGGGTCACTTTGAAGAACCAGCATACTGCTTGAACGGTGGTTTTCCAATTCGCAAACTGTGAAGAACTGTTTGTCGGTTGTATTCCCATTGCGTTACCGTTTTCCCCAGTGAAATTCCAATGTTTGATATGGCAAAACCATTATATCCCCCATGATGTGGTAAACCGGATGCCACAAACGATTCCATTCACTAACCATCTCTGGGTCAGTTTACATTATTCCAATTCCAGGGGTGCCAACTTTTCAAACCTTTATTGGGGATGATTTATTATTGAATTTACCTCACTTTGGAGTGTTTAAGCAACAGAACTTCTATGGGAAACCCTGGCTTTTGATGCACGACTGTCATGGGGACTCCTGTCATTTTCCCTAACACCGATTCTGAGACAAGGGCTAGAGAAATGTACAAACATGTTACCCTCTGGTAAACTAACATAACTATGGAAAATCACAATTGTTAATGGGAAAATCCACTATAAATGGCCATTCTCAATAGCTGTGTTAGTTTACCAGAGGGTAACTTTAACTTTAAGTATGACCATTACCTCATTTGTTGGGATGGAACGTGTGAAAATGCAGAAACGTACCTGAAACATCTGGAAATATGACATTAAGAGGTGGGTGTTTTACCAGACTTCACACACACACACATCGTGAAACTTGTAAATGACATGCATAATGACTCATAATGTTTGCCTCAGGAGGTTGAATTGACACATGCGGGATGAATGAACCCGCTGCAAAATCGATGGTGTTTTGCTGGATGGTGACCCACACATGATTAAATGGGTACCAAAACAACAGCCATTCAATTCGGGGAGTGAACTCATGTTGAACAGCATCACCAAGAGATTGCATGCGTGGTCACCCAATTTGCCAGATGAGATTCAGAAAATGCTCGTTTCTGAACAATGAAACACTCTTGAGCGTCCAAATATCTCTTGGGGTCACTGGCAAGTGCGTGGTTGGTGACTACTGTTAGATACGCTTCAACAACAATAATCTTTTAGCCGGTTCGTAGATATGCCAATTTCATTTCAATGGCAAAGCACATACAACTAGCCTCCAGTAAATGAACATAGACCCTGAAAATAGAACAACATCAAGTATATTTCAGTTGATTCTGTGGTTTTCCAACCCCCAACGAACCCGGCAGTCTTTATGTTAGTTGAATATCTCCCCCGGACTCCTGGGCAGCTAGGATTTGGGTGCCAGTTAGGATGTCGTACATGATCTCTGTATTGCCACTTTCCTCGGTCCGAGGAAAGATGTCCAGTGCTCTCCCGAAAAAAAAACAGCTGGTGGCTCTCAACGAACAGTTGGAACACAATGACTGACGACTGGCAATTTTTGATGTATGACTTGACCATGAAGTATGATAGCAATTCCCAAAAAGATAGAAACAATAAAAGAGTGGCAAACCCTTTTTCTATCTGGAGGTATACTTTTCTGGCCGTTGGTCAATTCGATTGTGGTCTGTTCTGAACATGCCGACAGTCGGCACTGTATCTCATGTAAGTAACTGCTGTCAAGGAATTGGACGAATCTTGTTAAGAACGGGATTCCCCGTCCATCAATGATGATGATCCCCAAGACATAGAGGGTATAACTCCCGAACTAATCATGAAAACCAACAGGGGTACAGGGGTCGCAGCAAGACCTTCGTGTTAGGATTTGGAGTTCCTGATCGTCCTCCCAACCATTTTCGACGACGCAGACCAGGGTTGAAGCCAATCATAAAAAAATACGTTTTACCGTTTTACCTCACTAAGCCTAGACTTCCTGGCGACATTCGGTCATCCACTATAGTGACTGGATACACTAATCGTACACTCTTTGGTGCAAAGTGAAGGAGGTGATTTCAGAGATACTCGCTGATTTTTTGCGATACATTACCATACACCACCTATTCATGATGGCCATACTTTTTCTTCAATTGCAGTACCTTCAGTACCTGTACTCCCAGATAGACCATTTCTTGACTGTTTCGGAGGTCCCTGTTCTCGGAGAAGTCGGCACGCCTGGGTATCATATCAAACATATCATGTATAGTGTGGCTGCCATTGTTTATCATCATGTTTCCAAGTTTAAACAGTTTAGAACAAAACAAAGCGAAACAAATGGGATATCATTTCCAGACAAACCCACAAAATGTTATTGCCAGAGTCTTAGTCATAGTCACTAGTAAATATATGATATACAATGTCTCTACCGCCATTAATGGAATTATGAATATAATTATCCTTATAATTACATACATATGATCTTATATGGAGGTTTCCAAAAATGGTGGGTACCCCATTTTAATAATCCAAGTCATTAGACGATTTTTGCATTGAATCAATGGTAATTCCAGGATCCTAAAATGGAGGTACTGTACCATATTTCTGGCCATATTTTTGGGGTATATCCTCTTACATTGCCCTTGCATAGGCATTATATATGGTAGGTACCTCCAATGAATCGGTTCCTGAAATGGCCAGTGATTATATACCAATGATTAACTATCATTAACCATTATTAACCACTATTAACCATTGATCGAAACTATTATACCAATTGATTGAAACCTCCAAACTTTTTGGGGATCCCTGACCTTTTCGCTCCGTGTGCCCGCTCCGTGTGCCCGCACCGGACGCGTCGGCCGGGCGATGAGTTCAGACCTGCAGGGGGTCACCCCGGTGGGTAATTCATGGGAAAAGCCACAGCTACAGCTGGGAAAAAAATGGGAAACACATGGATAATATGGTGGTTATAAAACCAATAATAGTGATTCTATATATGGTTATTTGATGGGATTAAAACATACCAGTAGTACCGCACAAGGCGGTGGCGGAAGTTTCAAAAATAGGAAACCTATAGGAGAGGTTGGCTGTTGTGAATCAGGGATGGCAGAGCGAAGCCACTGATGGATTGAAAGGTGCTTGATCTCTCTCACTCTTTCTCTCTCTTTCTCTGACTATCTACCTACCTACCTATCTATTTTCTATGTATCTATTTTCTATGTATCTATCTATCTATCGATCGATCTATCTATCTATCTGTCTATCTATCTATCGATCTATCTATCTATCGATCTATCTATCTATCTGTCTGTCTATCTATCTATCTATCTCTCTATGTATCTATCTATCTCTCCATGTATCTATCTATCTGTTTGTCTGTCTACCTGTCTATCTTTGGTGCAGTGTCATCCAGTCCAATGTAGTGTAGTGTACTGTAGTGTAGTGTAGTGTAGTGGAGTGTAGTTGTAGTTGCAGTTGTAGTGCAGCTGAGTATAGTGTAGTGTAATGCAGTGAAGTGTAGTGGGAGGTAGTGTAGTGTAGTAGTGTAGCGTAATGTAGTGTAGTGTAGTGTCATGTACTGTAGTGTAGTGTAATTTAGTGCAGTGGAGTGTAGTGGAATGTAGTTGGGTAGTTGAAGTGTAGTGTCGTGGGATGTAGTGTAGTGTAATGTTGTGTCGCGGTGTGTAGTGGAGTGTAGTGGAGTGTAGTTGTGTAGGTGTAGTTGTACTGTTGTGGAGTGTAGTGTAGTGTAATGTAGTGAGCTTTTTCAACATCTCAACTCCCAAAAGTGGTCCGGAGCTGAGGTGTTTTGTACATTTTGACTTCGAAATGTGCTTCGCGCCACAACGGCGTGCAGTTTTTCGACATCTGAACCTCCAAAAGTGGTCCGAGCATGGTGTGTTTTGTACATTTTGACTTCGAAATGTGCTTCGCGCCACAACGGCGTGCACTTTTTCGACATCTCAACTTCCAAAAGTGGTCCGGACCTGGTGTGTTTTGCACATCTTGACTTCGAAATGTGCCTCTCGCCACAACGGCATGCACTTTTTCGACATCTAAACTTCCAAAAGTTGTCCGAGAATGGTGTGTTTTGCACATTTTGACTTGGAAATGTGCTTCGCGCCACAACGGCGTGCAACTTTTCATCTCTCATCTGGCCAGCTGGCTCCGCACCCGCCGCTTTAGCGAGCCTACTTTTCGACTCTCCGGAGCCACAAATCATTGGAAAAACACAGTGTGTCGCGACTTTCCTACCTTTTCGCGCATCTGCATCTTCTTTCTTCTGACTCTTTCTCTTCTACTCTTCTCTCTTCTAATCTTTCTCTTCTCTCTGCCTCTGCCCTACTCTGCTTTTCATCTGTCCATATTGTCGGAAGTTTGACTTCTAAACTTCCTTCGATTATATATTTATATATATATATATATATGTGGTTGGTGGTTTTTCGCCACCCCTCTGAAAAATATGAGTTCGTCAGTTGCGGTTATGACATTCCCTATATATGGAAAGTCATAAAAAAATGTTCCAAACCACCAACCAGATGGGGACAAACACACTGAATTGTTGGATCATCATTTTTTCCCCACCTGCCAGGTGAGGGTTGTTAGATTTTATGTCAGTTGCCTCCTCCTCCTCCTTCTCCTCCTTCTCCTCCTCCTCCTTCTCCTCCTCCTCCGCCTCCTCCTGCCTCGTCCTCCTCTCCTCCTCCTCCTCCTCGTCGTCCTCGTCGTCCTCGTCGTCCTCGTCGTCCTTGCTCAACTGCGACCCGCGATCCACAGTGTTCTCTGCCGGACCTCAACCACGACCATCCACGCCCAGTGTTCCCTGCCGGACCTCAACCACGACCATCCACGCCCAATGTTCCCTGCCGGACCTCAACCACGACCATCCTCGCCCAGTGTTCCCTGCCGGACCTCAACCACGACCATCCACGCCCAGTGTTCCCTGCCGGACCTCAACCGCGAGTATCCACGCCAAGTGTTCCCTGCCGGACCTCATGTAGGAAGATATGGGACAAAGAATGTGCAGAAGAAAGTTAGAAAGAATGTCAGAAAGAATGTCAGAAGATATGCCAGAAGATATGCCAGAAGATATGCCAGATAGAATGCCAGAAGATAATATGCCAGAAGATATGCCAGATAGAATGCCAGATAGAGATGCCAGAAGATTTGCCAGATAGAATGCCAGAAAATATGCCAGAAGATATGCCAGATAGATATGCCAGAAGATATGCCAGAAGATATGCCAGATAAGATATGTCAGAATATATGCCAGAAGATATGTCAGATAGAATGCCAGAAGATATGTCAGAATATATGCCAGAAGATATGCCAGATAGAATGCCAGAAATGCCAGAAGATATGTCAGATAGAATGCCAGAAGATATGCCAGATAGAATGCCAGAAGATTTGCCAGATAGAATGCCAGAAGATATGCCAGATAGCCAGAAGATATGCCAGATAGAATGCAAATAGAATGTCAGAAGATATGTCAGATAGAATGCCAGAAGATTTGCCAGTAAGAAAATGTATAAATGTCATGGTGGGGATCACACGAAGTAAAGTAATTAATACTGTCGAGTTAGGATTAATAAACCGGCTCCCCCCCCCCCGCACGAGGTAGGTACCTAGGGAGAAGGTTCTGGTAAAGTTCATCCCCTAAATAATTGACCTCGTAAGTTGAAGTCATAAGAGTTAAACTTCGAATTGATATCAAACTACTTTCAATTGATACTTCTTTTATATAGACTTAAAATAAATCTAAAGATTAGTAAGGATTTCCATTGATATCAATCTACTTTCAATGAGCTTCCTTTTAGACCTAGAAGAAATATAAAGATTTGTAAGGGTTTCACTTGAGAGCAATCTACGTCCAATTGGTTTTCTTTTTAAACCAAAAAACATCTGAAGGTTTAAAAGGATTTCAACTGACATCAACTTACTGTCAATTGAGTGTCCCTTTAAGCCTAGAAGAAATGTAGAGATTTGTACGGATTTCAACTGATACCTATCTACTTTCAGTTGATTTTCCTTTTAAACCTAGAAGAAATTTTAAGGATCCAAGGGAAACGATTAATTAGGGGAGAACCATGACTATTATTTGTGGGGGACATGGGCTCATGGGGGGTACCGTTTGTGAGCTTCTCAAAATTGTGTTCTTTAAAAGGATTTTCAGAAAGAAATCGATCATTTGGGAAAGCATTTTATTTTGAAATTTAGCAAAAAAATTGGTTTGACTGCAAAACTGCGCCCGTGAGTGGCTGCAAAGTCGCAGGTCCCTGTCTGAAAAGTCACATGTCTGTAATTGCAAAGTCACAACAAAGGCTGTTGCCAATGCAACAAAGTCATCTAATTGGTGGTATACCTATGTACCCCCTGAAACATATGAGTTCGTCAGATTGGATAATCATCCCAACTAGGAAGGGGAAATAAAAGCCATGTTCCAAACCACCAAGCAGTAATTAATCACTCAACTCGTGTGATTGTAGTTTGTGTTGGGCCAACAGAACCTTCTGGAGGAATCTCTGGGATCAGAGCCAGCAGCTGTGTGCTGTGAAAAAAGAGAGCTGGCTGAGCAGCATGGGGGGAAGGGTTGGGGAGAGCAAGGGTTGATCAGCGTCCACGAAGAGCAGCAATTTCAGCCAGCATGACTACTTTTAGAAGACTTAGTAGTGACAAACCAAGAAAAACACAGGAATTCTTGTGTGGGGGTTGATTAATTCCTAGTGGATAAAAAATCCTAACTTGCCATTAAATGCAAAAATGGCTTGTCATTTCTTAAGGATGATTCCGCTCTTCAGATTTGGCATTGTAGCTGCTTGGTGACCATGATTAGTTATAATCTCCGCAAGTTCGGACATCCTCATTTAATAGCTTGCTGGTGCTTCCGAATTTTGTTGGTTGCATCCCTCCTAAGATGCGAATGGATGATGCTTGGGTCACAGTTCTTGAATCGAATCATGTCTAGTGTGAATTTGATTAGGATTGATTAATGCCACAGTGATCTGTTTTTACACTTTCTTCAGAACCTGCAGGTCCCTGCAATTAGTCCAACATACCAGGATTTAAAACTATAACGGGAATGGAAGGGAATGGAAGGGATTACTTTTCCCATTAACATTGAATGAACATGTAAACTGGTGAGCCTTCCAGCCATGCCGGTCTGCTCAATTCTGCAAGAAAAAAACTAGTTCTGTCATGCTCATTCATTGTGGTAATGCTACAGGCACAATAAAATTGTTGATTTTTGGTCGGGCCTTCTTTCTCTCTTTTCGCTTCAGGAACAAGTCCTCTATATTATACCATGTTTTTTCCCATCAGTTCTACGGGGTCATGTTGGCCAAGTGGCTATCATGGCAGATAGGAATGGACAAGAAACCATACAACACCGCCAATTCATGGCCAATCTTGGGGCAGGCCAAAGATCATTTGTACTAGTCTGAATAATGTAGATATACATAATGTACATAGATATGTATATATATATATGAGCAATCTCGAAAGCCCTACGTTCACGGAAAGGACATCCACAAATTTGGGAAGGTCCCATCGCTTACCACACGTTTGTACAATAATGATATATGGTAAACTTGGGGGGTATCGCTTGCAGGAATCTGCTACATTTTTTGTATATAATTCACAGAAATCAACGTCCAATTTGGGTATCGCTAATGTGGATATTAGAGAAATACAATGACATAACCTTGAAAAGGGGCATCGCTAATTTGGGAAGGTCCCATCGCTTACCGTGTGTTTTTAACAATTTCCATCAATTTTTCCATGAACCAATGTCCGTCCAATACATATTTAATATTGCCGGGGTTTTTGCGGTGGCTCATATATATATATATACATACATACATACATACATACACACATACACACATAGAGAGATCCCCATCTATGGTAGAAGACTCGGTTGTATCTTTTTCTCTCTCCCCCTCTACATATATATATATATATTATACACAATAATATAGTGTGTATATATATATAGAGAGAGAGAGAGAGCCATCCTAGAGTAGGTAGAATATCAAAAATCCTCAGCAAAATAGGAAACATTTTGAATACTCCATGTTCTATCTACTTCAGAATGATTATAACATAACATGAGTGATTAAGTACTTCACTACCCATCCCTACGGTTGACCATCGAGAGAATCTCTTCGGCACCTCTTTACCCGCGGCCGGGGAAACTTTCTACCTCGAACAAGCTCGGGTGGTGATGGCCCAAAGTTGGCTAACTCGGTTAATAACTTTCTGGTTTGTGGTTTCAACCCTCTGAAAAATATTAGTCAGTTGGGATTATTATTGCCAATATATGGAAAAATAAAAAATGTTCCAAACCACCAACCAGCTTTGCTAACTAGGGTGTATGGTGATGAAATATCTATAGTTAGTGGGTTAACAGACCAACTCACAACCAACAAGTTTGTGGTGATGTCAGAATCAACCATCAAAACTGGTTGTGGTTTGAAACAGCAAAACTTGGGATTCGATCAAGCAAAATGGTGAAATGAAAGCTCCCTGACGTTGGCCATTCCTTTGCAGTAGTAACCATCCCATATTTCAGTATCCAACGGCTGGGTCCATAACGATTCAAGGACACCTGTTATGGCTAATCTTGGATACCCTGCGAAAAGATTTGGGTATTCTTTTGCCGTTTTGGATCATCAGATAGGTTCAAAACATAGGCGACACACCGGCCCTGTGACGAAGTCAGGATCAAAACATCCAAGTTTTGGGAACTTTCCAGGAGCGTCCCCAAGTCTGAGCGCACAATGTGCTGTGCTTCCTTGTATGGATCTTGGTTTAGCATGAGTCGCTGGATGGCAACTGGTTGGTTCCAACAAATTACAACTCGGATGCATCGCAATAAAACCTTTGATATTCCACATGTTGTGTGGCATTTTTTCTACAACATCATATCTTGTGGTAGACTTGCATAGATGCCCCGGATGCCCCAACAAAATCATCTGCTCTGTGGTAGAAGCTAACATGTTTCATATGTTTTCCGCGGCTTCCCGTGGAAAATGATCCAACTAACCGAGGTGGTTTCCACCTCCCCTGGCAATCCAAGCCCCGCATTTCGCCCAGGTGCTGGGCTTTGATACTTTGCTTTCCTGCGGAGGCTTGGGCCATTGGATGCTGTTTCATGATGTAGGCGACTCAAAGCCACTGTGTATGTATGGAGGTGTCCTGAGTCATAGGGCTACCCCTATGTTATCATCCATGTTACATTGCTATTTTCCATTAACCATCCAGCGAGCTTGGGGTACCACCATGACTATGGAACCCCCCACGAGTATATAACATTGGGTTGTGCCGTGGCGGATGAGGATGATCATGGCTGAATGGGGCCCCATTTTCCTCAAACTACCATGGCTTCCGGCTCATTTTTTTAAAATGCGACATAGATCTATTCGCTGGTATGGATGTTCAATGGAAACTCAAAGTGACTCACCACATCAAAATGATAGGACCACTGTCACAGCTGATTCAAGGTAGAGTTTTTCAGGCTTTCAGCCACAGGTAGTCAAGGTACTCAAAGACGGGTACAGGTCAACGTTGTTTCACTCAACATGGTTTTATTCAGAAAACTGGAGGGTAAAGGGTATCCCGAATCTATGGCCATATTTATAACTATACATATTTAATGGGATTGACGTCATAGATTATAATGGACATAACAAAAAACTATAAATACATCATATAAATATAGCATGTATGTTCTCAGAAAATTCCCAGAGCTAAATTCTAGCCATATACCCATAGGATCCATGTATTCTATTTATGGTAACATGGATCCCATCAATATACCCCCAAAGTTAGCATATCTTAGCATATATATATATAAATATATCTATATATATCTATATATACACTCTTAGCATACATATACCATACATGGATCCTCTGGGATAGTTCATGTGATTTTATGAGAAAAGTACCCTACAGTTGGAGAAAAAAAACATGACGCATCCACCTGCCGTCAAAGATGGCTGGGAAACGCCCGGTTTTTCATCACGAAATCATCTTAATCAAAATGGACCCGACCGGTGGATGGAAGAAATCCGAATCACCAGTTGAAAACGGTGGTTTATCCCATTATTTATAGGGGTTTCAACCATTCAAGGTGATGCAGGATTTCTCCCATCCACAGTATAGTGGAGTTTTAATGTGATTTTAACCAACTTATATGATATGATTGGGTTGAAAGTGGTTAATACCCAGAATGCAATACAATCGTTATGTTGAAATGATGATACACCATCAACTTTGGGGTGGCCTATGGTTAAACAAACGGGAGATGTTGCAAAAGCAAAACCAATGTGAGACCGTCACCAAACTTCACCCAGTAGGCTATAACCCAGCTGAGCAGCAAAGAAAACAAAAACAGCTGGTTGATGACTGTAATAGAAGGGTGTGCGCTATCAAATACACCGGTCACAATCGATTGTGGGAGTTGACACTCGCCAACCATCATGTATAATCTCAAAAAGATATGTTTTACCTTCTGTGTATGTATGTATGTATGTAAATATATATATATATATATGTGTATTCTTAACGTTTATATTTCCAAAAAAATACAATATACTCCAGTATAACGTGCATGATAATATACAGTATACATGCTATTGAAAACTGACCATAATCATTGGCTGTTTTAGGTTTTCCCCACTTTAACTGACGGTTGAACAAAACATTGGTTATATAGTGTTAAATATATATATATATATATTGATCCCATATAATAAGGTGGTTATATATACACATCCCATAGTTATATATATATATATTGGTTATATATATATAGCCTATAGTTACATTATATATATATAGAATATATATATATTATATATATATGATTATATATGGCATATTTGATCCCATCAATGAGATCCCACTTAATTGAATCCCATATCCATCGTAGCCATCACTTCCTCCAAGTGATACCCAGAGCTCCGAGCAGCTCCAGCAACACCAACTACTGGAGAGGTAGCAGCTCCAATGATATACCATGAGAATATGGTAATATATAACCAATATATAACTATGAACAAATGGCATGCTATGATATATATATATATATATAACTATCTATACACATCTCATGACTCCAATAATACTCCAATTAGAAATGGTATATATACATATAATTACATATATATAGTGGTGATAATATCATGAGCATAGACTTATATTCCATCAATTGGTGATATTCCATGAACCCCCCCAAAAGAAATAGAAGCGGATGTCAAGTCCCAATAGAAAATGTCTCACAGTAACCATCCATTTTGATAAAAATGTAAAATTTCACCGCCCTGAATGAAGGCTATTGATGGATGATTTCCCTATGACTTCCCCTCTGGGCTTTGCAAAACAAAGTTGGGATATGAAACGGTATAGATACTAATACTGATTAACAATTTACTAAGTCTTAGTAACTTACTCAGTCAGACAATCCTCCAAGTATGACTAAATCAGATTCAATGGTATATATATGAATACTTACATAATATAATCCATGTACTAAGTCTAAGTTATGACTCCCCCTTTCGGCCAAACGGCCAAAAAACAATGGTTCTCCCCACCTCCAAGACGAAGTCGAGATTCGCCATCTCCTCATTGGCTGGATCCTGGCGCCACACCTGCACCACGGATCGATGGATGATGGCAGACTTACTGTTTATGGAGCAACCCCCCAAAAAAGATGGAAAAGTCATTGGTGACTCTTTATTGTCAATAGATGATATCAATTTAGTGTACTATCATCTATGATATCAATTTAGTGTACTATCACCTATGTACCATCATCTATGAAATATATTTAGAGACTATATTTATCAATATATCATAGATTCTTCAAATCTTTTTCACCGATTTTTGCTTTTCTATCTTGTTTTGAAAGGCAAACGCTTTGAGATCGGGACATGTGGCGGGAAAACCACCCAATCCATGGATCGTTGGTTCCAAGTTTGGAGGCCGCGAACTGGAGGTGTTTACAGCTGGGACACCCAGCTATCTAAAGGCTCATTTTTACTAGTTGCCATGTACAGCACCAGGTTTGTTGGCTGTAGGTCATTTATATGAATACATACATACATATATATATATATAAACTATATATAATGAATATCAAATCGACATTATTCTCATAACATGTGCTCAATCCGCGGGAATTTTCGGTTAAAATGGCTCAATCCCCCATATCTTGTTAGCTAATCGCCATATTTTTTCGGTATCCCAGCCTCCAGTTCTTTCCGGAAGCGCTCTTGATCCTGGGACTTGGTGAATTGAGTCAATTGGTGACGGTCGAAAAACTGAGGGTACAATAACTCACATTTTGCTGCTGGTTATATAACTCCTAATTAAATTTGTAACGGATATACATGGATATACCCATTATATTATGTAAATATGCCAGATCTTCGATCCGCGTGGGACTTTACAGTAGACTTTCTGGTTGAACCATACTAAACCATGATAGCTGCCGGTTTATGCAAAGGAGAGTGCCGCCTGGTAATGTCAAATAGCTTTGGAACATCCAAGAATCACCATTTGAAATACTAGATCCAACAAATAGCTGGGCCAATCTCCATGGCTATATTTAAAGCACAAGAGGGTAGAACCCCAAAACCAGTCATCTTGCGCCAGGAAAAAACTGCGGCCAATTCTGAGAAAAACTGAAACCTTCAAGCTTGAATTGTTGGTTGGTCAGCAAAAAACATGGAGAGTTTAAACAGCAAAAGTGGTGATATAAAGGGGGTTCTTATGGAATCACAACCATTTACAACCAACTTGAGATGATTAGGGTGTGTCTGCAAATGGGATGTACTGTATACCACAGCCATTGAAATTCAGGGAAATGATGATAAACCCTGATATAAACCATGATAAACCACTCATCTTCTTCTGTTAAAATGACATTCCCAGGCCCGCCAAGGTAGAGCAGTGTCCTCTGCTGCGCGCACCACATAGTCCATCTTCTCCTGGTCATCCCGCGGAACCCAAACATGGAAATAGAAATCCCCATGATATATAATCATGGACCGTGATCTATATATATATAAATAAACATATCTATCTATTATCATGATCATCATGATCTATCCCCATAATATATCTATAATATATAATAGTATTAAACTCTATTACATCACATATATTGTGACCATCTATTATTTATTGTTATTTATTATGATTATGACCATCAATGGACTGATGGTCATCCCCAAAAACCTGGGTAATTGTCTACGTTATATAATCCATGATTCAGCATGGCACATCTTAACCCAAACAACATTGGGTCCTCCAACAGACAAAGGATGAACATATGTCTGGTGGTTGGTGCTTACGCGCCGAAATATCAACCGTTTATCAACCATTTTGGATCAGCATTCAAAGTACAGCAACGTTTGAAAGCGCCCACCAAGCAAAACATCGAGGCAATTGTTGATACAAGATGATGCTCCGCAAAACAACTAGATTATACATTCCATCACCGTCTTGTCTATCTTGTCTAGAGGTCCTGTCCCTTTGATGGTGAAACGTGCTTGGGCTGTTTCCAATTGGTGTGGGGCCCGTGTTGCCGCTCCTTTTGAACATGCCATAAAAAGTGGTATGTACCTTGCTGTTACTTGTGACAGTGGCCTTGTTTTCGTATGTTTGAGAGTGTTTGAAAATTAAACTGGTCAGGCTGCGCCCTGCTGCGCAGTGGGAAAGGTTGACAATGATGGTTATCCATCTGGTACTCATTTCAACCATTGGTAGGTAAATACCCAAGACGGGTAGCGTCCTACCACAATCCTGCGCGCAAAGGAAAGTGAGAAAGTGGTGGTTTGAACCCTTGAAAAAAATGTCATTTTCATCCCGTTTGTTGGATGGATGGAAAATCAAAAAATCGTTGAAACATGTTGAACCCATCAACCAGATATAATCAGATCATCATCATTAGTTGATGTTGGTGATTTACTGTTATACACACACATTCATATTACCCATGATCTTTGGCTAAATCCGCAGAAACGTCACCGAAAACGGCACCCCTTCGCCGCTTCGTCAAAAACGGCACCTCGTCTGAGAGTTTGGACCATGCTTTGCGCAAGGCCAACAACTTGGAGACCTCGGGAGCACCCTAAACAAATATCATCAAACAAACCTAGACGACATCAATTATCTAAGATTATTATCAGGATAGGATATTGCTATCGATCGGTTACTAATAAGAAAAGAAAATAATCTGGAATATAATATCATAAAATAAAAATAATCTGCAAGATACAATGCAATAGCATGAAATAAAAATAAAACATTATACAACCAAAAAAATGTAAAGAACATCTAAAATAATAAAATACAACAACAAAAAACATTATAATTAAACGTTATATGAAAAATTACTACTGAACGTTATCAAATATTATATAACACAATTAAATTATGTTAGCATATATAAAAAGGAAAAAATAAAAATGATAAAAATTGAAAACCCAAAAATGTATAATAGAAACATGAAGTACAATATATATATATATATATATAATCAAAACAATCAAAAATAAAATATATTAAGATAAAATACTTCAAAAAATATTAACATCCCACAAACTCTGTCCGTCATAAACGACGTAATTACACTGGAAGAAAGCGTTTGATACGCAAATACATCCAGCAGTCTGTGAAGGAGGCCAACTCCAATCTGTACCTCCACGCGCTCCAGAATTAGTCTGACGTTACTGACAGATCCCACCCGCTGGCATCCGCACTGCGAACCTTGCCATCGGGTGAAGTTTCCAGGAGGGGCTCCATATCCTTGAAGGTAGACTTCAAGGACTCATCATCATGGCCGACCCCGACGGCCGCACCATTGACAGGCTTCAGGGTTTTGTAGGCATCAATGTCTTCCTTGTCCTGGTCGAAAGGGGGTATTCATGAGTCTCCACCTCTGGGCTGCACGCTTCTTCGCACAGTGCCCTTCTGTTTTAATGAAGAGCTGTATCGGGACCATAAGACCGTAAGCAGCGAAGTCGCCGGGTCTGGCTTCTGCGAGGTGTCGCGCAAAGACGTACCGAAGGAGCAGCCTGATCTTACAAATCTTGATGAGATCAGAAACTTTCTCGGGGTCGTGCTTGATATCGTTGCGCTTGGGTCCAAAGTACCGAGAGGAGAAAGATATTGATTTATCTCCCTCCACGGATTGGATGTGAAATCTCACAAGGTCATCATAAGACAAAGAATCTCCACTCCACGTGGCTGCCATTTCAGCTTCTTTCATCTTCTCAGCTGAGGCTGAGGCAATCTGACCCAGAAGGAATGCTCCTTTCTCGGTAAGGGTTGAATCGACAAGTCGCTCTGCTTTCTGGAGCCACGGCAATGCAATGTCCCACTCCACCAGGCAAACACCGGAGCTTTGAAGATTCACAGTCCCCAAAATCTTTGCCACATTCTTTCCTTCGTCAATGAAGAACCCTGGCACCAGTTGATACCCCGTGGCAGAAGGGTTCAAAGGGGCACGCTTCGGAATGGCATTCTGGATCTCCTGTGCAGCTTTCAGTCGGACAGGTTCATCTGGCTCAATCTGGATAACATGGAGCTTTGCGGCTTCAGTCAAGGCATTCCATCTCTTCTCAGAACCCGGTTGCTTGAGAATGCCAAAGTGTTTATTGGTTCCAATGGATCGGATCCAGCTGGTTGTGACATCATCTAAGCCTCGGACCGGCCAGCCTCTCTGAATGAGTTCTTTTCAAAGGAGAGATTTTGCTTCCTTCCATGTGTCAGTCTTCCCTCCCCCACCATGAAAGGGTGAGCAGAGGTGAAAGGTCACATTGTCACGGCTGTTTGTGTTGCATTGTGACAGGTCACCTTCAAGGTAGATCCTTCGAGCACCCTTTATCCAGCGTGGCGTCTTCTCCTCAATGCAGGCCTCAATGCAGGCAAGGACTGTGTGAACAACAGCGCCCAGGTCATGAAGGGCAAGTGATTCTTCAAGCAAACCTCCCCAAAACAGAATCCCATTGTATTTGAGGACCACGTGGGTACCTGATGGTTTTGCAATGGCGGCCAGTGAAATTTCAAAAAGGAAACACCGGATGGCATTCATCACAGCTTTGGCTGGTGCAGCAGTTTCAGACTTTGGTTGGAGATCGCCAAGCACCTCATGAGAAGCAAATTGGCACGGTACCCACTCCCAATCCGCAGCAACAAGGACTTTCTTCAGGGTTCCCAACAACATCTCCACAAGGAGATGGGTATCACAAAGGGAAGCTCTGCAGGATGCAACAATCTTACTACCCATTTCAACGATGGAAACATGCGGCAAGTGGCTCAGGAACTCATGCATCTCAGCGTCAGGCCTGGAAAATCGACATGAGGCGAAATCACAAAAATCCACGGCATGGCAACGTGAGTCCTTCAAAGTGAGAAGTAAGAATGAGTCCGCGTCACAGAGATGCAGTGTACTGGCCACAGGGCAAGGTCCCAAGCAACAAGATCGAGATGAGACAACAGGCCAAGCAAGTCGGTCTTCATTTGATCAATGGTCCCACCTGCTTTGCAAACTACCCATGTCTTACCAGTCTCACAGAGCACCTTAGCTGTCGAGCAAACACGGTGGAAAGGCACATGAGTGTCCTGTTCAATCAACATGGAGTTCGGAATCACCCGGCCTTCAGACCCAATGGCAACCATGTACCCCGCATGCTGAAGTTCAAAGGACAGCAGAATTTCAGAGAGACTCTGGGATCCATCCGTATGAAGAACATGTTGAACATCGTCAATCTGGCAAAAAACTTGGTAGCCGCAAATGAATGGGCAGGTGGGCGCAAGAGGGTCAACTTCACCGAAACATCTTGCAGAATCTTTGGGGTCACCTGATGATGCAATCTCTTCAGTGTCGGAAATGGTCTCATCATGTGGATGGCTGGCATCAGGCTGTGCTGCAGCGGGGAAGTTCTTGGGAAAAATCCAGGCATCACAACAATCTCTGCATTGTCGGCGTGAAGTCTGGACAACAGACACATCTCGTTGATCACACATCGGTTCACATGGAATCTCGCATCAAACATGCTCAGGCCGGCAACCAATGCAAGCAATGCGTGTTGGACAGCAATGCAATTCCCCACAATTAGGTGGCCATGCTCTTTTGGGAGACATAAAAACCCATGAAGACTGGCAATCTCAAATGGGCTAAGGAACCGGATTCCAAAGCGACCCATGAAAAGCTCAGTGAAGAGCCCCCTCTTCTCCAGGGCACTTGCAGGCAGGTTGTGCTGATTACCATATTAGGCGACAAAAGTGGCCAGAAAGCTCAGAGCTCCACGGAGCCTTTGTCTCAGCACCTGATTAGAACATTCGATTTCGTAGTTGAGGCTACGTTTCACCTGGCAACCCTTGGTCATGTACTTGGGGTTGGCATAAATAGCCAACAGCTCTTCTGGCAAAGTGAGATCACGCTCATATGGCTTTCTGGCCTTCAATCAAGGTCTTGAAGGATCCCAAGTTACAAGAAGGTAACGGGATGAAACCACACCCAGCAACTAAGTTTTGCGGTGAAACGGTTGGGACAAAACAGCAAGCCATCTTTTCCTGGAAACTGGAGTGATATCCTTCAAATCTTCAATAGATTCCCACCCGGCTTGTATCCCGCCCATTTCATGCAGTCCAGGATGCCCTGGAAGTGCGGGTGGCAACGGAAGGAATCAACACTCTCCATGACAACCAAATATGGGCGGACCAAACGCAAGTTGGCAATAGCTTCCACAAGTGATCTACCAGCCAGGTCATGAAGGCCATCTGGATCAGACGCTCTTCTCCATGGTGGGCAGGGACTTGACATGGTACAAACAACGCGGGTGGCCCATGGGACCAACTTGACCCAGTTCTTTTCAGCCACATCCCCAACAAACATCATGTCATCATGTGGGAAAGGTCCGAAAAAAGGGACAGGCATGTTGAGTCGAATGTCATCAGCCCAGAAACAGACAGGGACACCGAAAGACTTGGCATAGCACCCAGCAATGTCATGATCAATCTCGACTGCAAGTGACTGCATGCGCGCGTTGAGCTGGCTTTGCAAGACAGCAGCAGCTTGCTTCCATCCACCAAATCCACCGGCAAAAAGTTCAAGGTGGAACCACGGCAATTTATCCTCGCAAGTGGCTTTCGGCAGAACCATGGAACAGGCAGGGACAACATGGAAAAGCAGCACTTGGACTTGTGGGTCATCAGCACATGGATGCAAACACTGGAATCCACACGGTTGCAGTTGCAGGACTTTGGCCCGACTGGACCGTGGCCCTGGACATGACAGACCCCTCTTGCAGGACAAGGGCGGAACAACGACCAGAGCGAGCGACATGACCCGCACCCTGGGCAGTCGGAGGCTGGACACAGGTTCGGATGCATTACACTCCTTGTCCACGAGGGCATGGGTGACTGATGGCCTTGGACGCGGCAGACTCATCGGACAAGACCTGGGCAGGACGGACTGACCGACAGGCACAGATGCATTACACTCCTTGCCATGACAGGCAGGAGGGCCTGAAAAAAGGGCAGACATGCCATCAACCTCACCTGACATGGAATCCATGACTGTCGAATCAACTGAATGGCCAAGGCTTCTCTGGTGATTTTCCAACACAGAGGAGGGCATGAGAGATGATAAAGGGCAAATTGAGGACCCTTCAAATTGTACACTCAACAAGGACATCTCGGAAATCATGCCACACTGTTGAACAGGGAGGAACCCTACATCCATCGTAAGCTCAACAAATGGCCGAAGGGCACCTGAGTTCGGCTTTGCGCAGTGATGATCGGCACAATTCTCATGCAAACAGCACTGAAGAAGCTGACTGGGGGGGGCAGCAAGGGAACCCCGAAACACCCAGGAATCACCGATGGTGGAGATACCTAAGAAGTTGACCTGATCCACAAAGAGATCCGTCAATATCTTCAATTCATCCCCAATACCGGTCCATTCGTATGAACTCACCAAATTGCCCAGCCAACCACCTGGGACCATGGCAGCACTCAATTGGAACCAAAGTTACAACCACGCCCCGGGAAGGCTTGAGTGACAGTGGCTACCCTAGTTTTGACCATAGCCCACATGCAACCCATCTACCAACCTGTTGCCATCACATCAGCTGGACAATCAATTGAATTCGGTGAATTGTCTAGTTTGACATCTAGTCCAATCTTCATTGCATCTATCTATCTATCTAACTATCTAACTATCTATCTACCTATCGATCGATCTATCTATCTAGCTATCTATCTATCTATCTATCTATCTATAAATTAAAATTACTTTACTTCGTGTGATCCCCACCATGACATTTATACATTTTGTTACTGGCAAACCTTCTGGCATTCTATCTGACATATTTTCTGGCATTCGATCTGGCATATCTTCTGGCATTCTACCTGGCATATCTTCTGGCAGATGTTCTGGCATATCTTCTGGCATATGTTCTGGCATATCTTCTGGCATTCCATCTGGCATTCTATCTGGCATATCTTCTGGCATATTATCTGGCAAATCTTCTGGCATTCCATCTGGCATTCTATCTAGCATATCTTCTGGCATATTATCTGGCAAATCTGCTGGCATTCTATCTGGCAAACATTCCGGCACTTTATCTGGCATATCTTCTGGCATTCTAGCTGACATTCTATCTGGCATTCTATCTGGCATACCTTCTGGCATTCTATCTGGCATATCTTCTAACATTCTATCTGGCATATCTTCTAACATTCTATCTGGCATATCTTCTGGCACTCTATGTGGCATATCTTTTGGCGTGGATACTCGCGGTTGAGGTCCGGCAGGGAACACTGGGCGTGGATGGTCGTGGTTGAGGTCCGGCAGGAAACACTGGGCGGGGATACTCGCGGTTGAGGTCCGGCAGGGAACACTTGGCATGGATCCTCGCGGTTGAGGTCCGGCAGGGAACACTGGGCGGGGATGGTCGTGGTTGAGGTCCGGCAGGGAACACTGGGCGGGGATGGTCGTGGTTGAGGTCCGGCAGGGAACACTGGGCGTGGATGGTCGTGGTTGAGGTCCGACAGAGACCACTGTGCGTCGAGGGTCGCGGTTGAGCAGGAGGAGGAGGAGAGGAGACGAGGAGAGGAGGAGGAGAAGGAGGAGGAGAAGGAGGAGGAGGAGGAGCAAGCAACTGACATAAAATCTAACAACCCTCACCTGGCAGGTGGGGAAAAAAATATATATAGGAATCATTAGATAACCTGCCAGGTCGCCCCAAATGCATCTACCGTAACCCATATGGGGTTTCTGAGGTCATGGGGGATTCCCAAAACCGTGGGTTGCTATAATCAAATGGTCTATTTTGGATGATTTGGAGGTACCCTCATTTTAGGAAACTTCCATATCTCAACTCTTTGTCCCCTACGATTTCTACACTTCCTGGGCCACTGGGCCCCAGCCCGTCCTGAGCCCCGAATCGCCCAGATTGGCCACACCCAGCTCAGATTTCCAGGGATCCAGTGCAACCACCAGAGCTGTCGCGGAGCCATAGGACTTGGTGGCCTGTGCATGGCATGGCCATGCTGGCCATGGCCGGCAACAGGAATGGTTCAAATGGCAACGATGAGAATAACTTAATGTTGTAAATGATGATATGTAAATATTATTATTAAATATTAAAAAATTACTTTACTTCGTGTGATCCCCACCATGACATTTATACATTTTGTTACTGGCAAATCTTCTGGCATTCTATCTGACATATTTTCTGGCATTCGATCTGACATATTTTCTGGCATTCGATCTGGCATTCTATCTGGCATATCTTCTGGCATTCTACCTGGCATATCTTCTGGCAGATGTTCTGGCATATCTTCTGGCGGATGTTCTGGCATATCTTCTGGCATATCTTCTGGCATTCCATCTGGCATTCTATCTGGCATATCTTCTGGCATATTATCTGGCAAATCTTCTGGCATTCCATCTGGCATTCTATCTAGCATATCTTCTGGCATATTATCTGGCAAATCTGCTGGCATTCAATCTGGCAAACATTCTGGCACTTTATCTGGCATATCTTCTGGCATTCTAGCTGACATTCTATCTGGCATTCTATCTGGCATACCTTCTGGCATTCTATCTGACATATCTTCTAACATTCTATCTGGCATATCTTCTGGCACTCTATGTGGCATATCTTTTGGCGTGGATACTCGCGGTTGAGGTCCGGCAGGGAACACTGGGCGGGG